GTAAGACAAGGAAGTTGTCTTTTGTCTTTGTATTTTCAACGCTAGATTTATGCAGCCCCTGGCACATTTGAATCCACTCATACCTTTTCATTGACGCCATTGCAACAAAGTTATGTTTACGGCAAACCTTCTGCTCTCAATAATTTTCTCTCCACAGTGAATGAAAGAACATAAACGCTGCATGTGTCTCCTTTTCAGGAATGAGATCAGATGAAATAAAAGTTACCTGGATGTAGTTATAAGTATGTGTTAGCATTGTTGGTATTCTGGATCACAATGGAAAAAAACACAATGAGGCCAATTCACATACGATACATTCCTCTAGTGTTACTGTGGTGCTATTAATTATTTTAAATTAGTTCACTTTCTCTCTTTAATTTACAATGTTTGGCTTCATCAAAAGGCTGTGACCATTGTTAGGGAGGATTCTCACCCAGCAGGTCCCCCTCTTTGAGGAATTGCACTCTGTTTTAAATCTAATCTATCGGTCTGTGTGACGTGGGAGCAGAGGGCTCTGTGAGCTGGCCGGACTCGGGAGCTCCTGTTGTGGGTTGCCACAGGCTTCCCCCGCTGTCACTTGCGGAGATCCTCAACTCCAAAAACTTTCAAGCACATTTTTGTTCCGCCATCACTTTTCGTAAAACTGTCAATATTCAAAATCTACACAGCTGATTTCTCACCTCAAAACTTCTCAGAAGTGGATTTAGTGATGAAATTCCATACAAAAAAATGTAAAATATAACACTTTCTGTTGCTGGCCTCTGTCTGGTGCCCGCAATGATGATGCAGTGAATAGTGAATATTCTCTCTGACCAATCAGCAGTCTGCTGTGTTTTCACGTCACATTTTAGTATCCCTCAGCTCGCTTGGTACCTCGACGGAGGTGATACGAAAAAAAGTACCTGGCAGCAGGTACAGGTAGAACAATTACAAAGGCGAGTCGAGCCGAGTTGAGCTGGTACTGTGCAGTGGAAAAGGGGCTTAAGACGTTCCCTGAGACTATTAAGCTATTGAACAGTAAACCGTTGGCACATCAAGGTATATTTAGTTTTTAGCTTATCTTTGATATTGATGATCATTTGTGTATCTTAATATTTTATTTGCAGTATATCATGGTTTTATCACTATAGTGTGTTTGATGTTGTCCTGTCTGTCCTGCATTTTGAGTTTAGTAAAGCTAATAAGCTTACTTACTCAGTACTTGATAGGGTGCACTACAATTTGAGAATCAATTTCTTACTAAGATCATCTCAAATCCACCTGTCATTTATTCTTTTGGCATTATAATGATTATTAAATTTCTAAAGGATTTGCTGAAATATTTTACATGTGATGATTTACACAATGAGCATGATGGTAAATAAATCATAGTAACACAATTCAGTTCAACAAGGCATACTTAGTGCATCACTGTGCACAATGAAGACAATGGTAAGTTTTGAATCTGTGGGAAAGCAGTTAATGGATGTAAAAAGTCATGTTGTGAGAAAATTTATTGCAAAATTTTAGTTTTTATTTTTCATCAATGAAAACTGTTCATTGGGGACAATGTGTATTGAGAGGTGGTTGCTGCTGAGTTTTAAAAAAATGTTTTTTCTAATTTTATGAGCACAATAAACATACTGTGTTTGTAATTTGATTGAACTGACCATTTAAAGCCAGTATGTGTAGACTTCAGAAAATCCCACCTGGAGATATGAAAGAATGGGTTGAAAATAACACATGGACTGCACCAACTTTCACCTGGATCATGTTTTTGATTTTGATACGGCATCAAAATAATTTAAAAGCTTACATACAAATTCTAGACATAGTGACTTTAAGAAAAGTTTTATTACAATTAAAATGAGTAACACAAACATATCCATGAGACCCAGCTCATGTTGTGAATTTGGTTCAGAATCATTCTGATGTGCGAAGGTGTGTGTCATGATGACAAACTAAAACTGAACTCACAGGTGCACATGAGGAGGCGGGTGAATGCTGCTGCCCTTTTGTTTTGCTGCCCTTTTCAGACTGAAACACAGAGTTTCTAAATAAGTTGCTGCTAACAGTCATCACCAGAGGAGCTTCAAAGGGACCAAATGGCATTTAGATTATAGCACTCTGTCTGAAGCATATTTAAACCTAGCACACTCCTCATCTTCACAATTTACATTAGTCAGCAATTCAAGGTCACACAAATGTTTTTCATCCTGTTAATACTCGATGATCCTGCTCTTGGAGGTGGAGACAGACCCACAATATCATTAACTATACGTTTACATTATTTTTGGTTTTTCTCATCAGATGATTTAACTGTTACTGGCAGTTTCCAGCCTGATCTTGTGGATAAATGTGGAGACTAACAAAATTATTCAAACCATGTGAAAAAAAACTTAAGACAAAAGGTTTAATTACAAAATGCTATATGAGCCTGTCTGTGTTGCATACAGATCTGAGATTCACCAGAGGAATAAGGGGGGAAACATAAATCATTCAGTCTTGAAAATGGAACTAAATAATAAATATTTTGAGCTGACTCATAACTTCAACACCAACTTTCGCAATATTGCAGAGTGACTGTCTCGAGAGCTAGAGTCTGCTTCATTGCTTTATTATATCGAATGAGACTTTTTTTTTTTTTTACTGTGAAAGGTGGAAATGAAAACATAAAATATAAGCTATATTAGACTCACCTACTTGGTATTTTAAAAATATTTCATGATGGATCTGATTTCAGACCTGTGGTATTCATATTTATGGTAAACAAATGTTTTAGCATGTTGCATGTAAAGTTAAATTCACCTTTGTTGCCCAGACAGGCCAAAGAAAATGTGCTGCTTGGTTTCACTCACATTAAAAATGTGAGAACTGGTTATTTTGCCATCAGCCATGAACTCACTGTTTATAAATGGACAAGACACAACCTGTCAACCTGGAACACAATACGTTAGTCCACTGTGGCATGAATGACAGCAGGGCATGCATGAATTGGAACTCAGTCGATTTGATCAAAACTCCACATGACAGGAAATTATTAATTCACTGATACTGAGCTGAAAAGAAGAGGCTCAGGGATTCAGCCAGTTTTGACCTCCAAGTTAATTAGGTGAAAATGTATTTTCTCTATATGATACATTCTCACATTTAGCAGGGGAAAGGTTTTGTTTCATTGTCTGTGCATCTGGTGCTGCAATCATGAGGGAGCGCTCTGAGCTCACTAGTTATATAAACAGAAAGAAGGTGTGCTAGATAGTCAGTAACCAGTACTGACTGCCTGATCCAATGATTCAATCCCATTTGATTAGTCAATTTATTTATTTTTTTATCAAAAGCAGTTAAACACATGAAACTGGTTTCACATGTCTGAATTGGTAGCTACTCAGTAACAAGTCATAAGAAACATCTGTAACAATGATTTACCAATGTTTGCATGATTTTATATAAATAATGTTTTGCCTACAGAGTTGTTATTACAGATATCAATTTTCCTGCATTATGCATTATTTATATATATAACCCTATCTCAAACTATATACAAAACACACAGTACACAGTTTAGGGAGGGTCTAATGAAAGTAAAATTCAAATGAAATTAAAAAGTAAGTTCTCCTGGCAGGTTAATCCGGCCATGCTGAAAGGAAGTAGGTATAAAGAAGAAAAAAAAGCATAGGCTACTCAAGTAAATAATGCTACAGTATTTTAAAATTGTACAGAAGCACATACAGTAGGCTATGTACATTCACGTTCTTTCCATCACTGTCAAAGTACAACACAGGCCGAAGAGACACATTTATGTTTGTCTTTCTTACAATATTTAGCCTATGTTGCAATCAGTGTTGTGGGTCAGGGATGTGGCCAGATAGAAAAGGACTAAATAATCCCGACATCCCGATTATTGATCGTGAAGAAAAGCGGCAGTTTTTCCGTTTGTAGGAAAAACATGAGGCATACAGAATGAAGTGACTCACTTTTTGATCAATAACAGGGATTAAATAGTGCCATAGGTACTGCACGGTTGAGTGCGTGGCGGTGTGTGTGTGTGTGTGTGTGTTTGTGTGGCAGCTGCAGCTCCCTCCCTGACTTTTTTCCTCTCCCATATCCAGTCCTGCAGTGGCGCATGGTGCTCGGAGCTCCCGCCGGCAGGAGCCGCGCATCTGAGGAGGCTGTTAGTGTCAAAGAAAAGCTGAAGCACAAAGAGCATCTCCCCAAAACAAATCCCTCTGTGGCTTTGGGACTCAAACACGGATTATAAAGCGCGTGTAGGCCTACTGTAAGCAATTCAGGAGCAACTTTGCCGCTGTCTGTTCTTTTTTTGTTTTGTTTTTTTGGTTCAGATCTTCAGCGGCACCTGGTCACCTCTTCAACATTTTCAGGCTTTTAGCATCTAAGAGCATCCGCACACGGTCAGTCAACAGTAATAGAAATTTGGCTGGATTTGCTTTTCTCCGACGGTAAGATCATTATTTTTTACTAACAGCTATCTTCTTTTCCATGTATCCAATTAGGATTTAAATATTTTTGATAAAAATATATTTTGTAGGATGTTATTATGCTGGACATTACTAAGTTTCTATGACTTCTGCCACCTTTTCTAATGGCCATAATTTGATGTTGGTGGTGCAATTTGTTCTCTTTGTTCATAAATGGAAAAATCCATCTGCAAAATGAGAATTACACGTCCAGAGTGCCATCTTGCTATCTGTACTTAATAAATGAATAACTATTAAATCTATTCTGCTAATATGTTTTCTTTACAATGAATATATTCTTAAAATTACAGTTAATATTAAATAGTCTCCTGAGTCTCCTCACTTTATTTGTTAATGAAAGTTTCTACGAGGTAACGTGGAGAAGCAGCGATCCAAACCACAAGGAGATGTTAAAAGCATTTCAGTGTTTTTCTATCCAGGAATGTGTTATTTGCTGTTGTTTGGTCTGCTACAGAACTGTTGATACAGCCGCAGGTAGACACCATCTCTGATATCTGTGATATTTCTTTAAACAGATGTGATTGCATCCCTGTGATGGACTAAAGGTGTGAGGAGGAAGAAAGAGTGGGAGTGGGTGATGGGGGTGTCTACATAAGGTTTGCCTGCCTTGAAGGTGAGAAAGTCTATTAACAGCTGGTGGTGGAGATTATCAAGTTCAGACAGCCACTCCCTGGAGGAATGTACATATGTTACATAAAGACTGCACTGGGGCCAGTGTTGAACAGCATCATGACTCGAGCTGACTCATAGGATGTGGCATAAGATGGATGGGGGACCGTGATTTACATTGTCTACAAAGATTTGTATCCACACAGAACAGAAGGAGCTGCAGACAACAAGACTGGAACATGGAACCTGATGTGATGTTTTTGAAAAGGATTTCCTTCCTGTTTGGATTCTGACTTGTGTTGACTAGTGTTTTGATTTTCCTCAGCTGTGTCTGTGAGTGGATTCTAATGAGGACCAAGGGAAACCAGTACAGTAAGCCTTACAGTCCAGAGATTTTCATACTTCTCTGCTGCCTGTCCTGCTGTGGTTTTGTTCCAACCGGGAAAGCAGCATGGATCTGTCCCAGGACCAGTCATCGGAATGGAGCTCAGTCCAGCCCAGCTTCTCTCCACTGCTGCAGCACGACGGCTCTCAGGAAAGACTCAACCGCACCTACAGCTTTCACAGCTCTATAATGCTGCCCTCCACTTTCAGCTCACCCACTGCCCCTCTCCATCAACCTCTGCCCTCTCTGCTGCCCTCCTCCCTCATTCCTTATTCATCTATAATCTCTTCCCCTTTATTCTCTACCACTTCGAGCTCATCCTTACAACAAACATCCACTTTTGTCTTCCAAGCCTCCTCGTTTCCTCTGTCTCTGCCCACCTTTTCTTCTAACGACTTGGCAGATCTGGAGAGCATGCTGCTCTGGACTCTCCATGAGCCCAGCACAATCGCTCTGAGCATCATGTACTGTCTGTCTTTCATTTTGGGATTTGTTGGGAATTTAATGTCCCTGCGCGTCCTCACCAACAGGCGGAGCCGGCAGTTGGCTGGCGTCAGCGCCACGCGCAGCCTCCTGGTGAACTTGGCGGTGTGTGACCTGGCCGTGGTGTGTGTGTGCATGCCCATCACCCTTGGCAGCCAGATCTACACTGCCTGGGTCTACGGTGACCTCCTGTGTCGAGCCGTGCCCTTCACGCAGGCTGTTTCAGTCTCAGCCAGTGTTTTAACGCTGACAGTGATCAGTGTGAATCGCTACTACAGTGTTCGATCACCACTGCGAGCTCGCTCCATGTTTACCAGACGTCGAATCTTGGCGACGGTGGCCGTGGTGTGGACAGTTTCATCCATTATGTGCGCTCCTATTGCAGTGATGAACCGGCGACGAGAGATCAGCTTTGGGACATTTGCCATCTTGGTCTGTCAGGAAGAGTGGCCACAGCATCGTCTTAAACAGGGGTAGGTACTCAGACGGACTACAGAATATACCAGCGTTGTCTGATCTATGGTCTATGGTCTAATCTATACAGGTTCTCCGCTCTCCAACTAATTAATAATAATAATGATAACTAATTTCAGTTCTTTTGTCGACTTACAAACCATAATGTCACCTATTACCAGTGGTCATTGTGGTGTCCGGCTCTGACTCTTAAGGGCAAACTCAGCATGTAGAATCAGAGGAGGCGGTCAATGAGAGAGAGAGAGCTCTCTCTTGGATGTTCAGCCCAGTGAATCAGTGATCTCAGCCGTTTAAACTGTTAAACCTCTGACATACCAAACCAAACTTTGAACAACAACTTTGGGAACAACTTTGGGACAACCACAGACTGACAACAGTAGGGAAAAGAAAAGTTTAACTGTGATAGATGCAGCTTTTTGCCAGAAATATATGCAATTGCTGTTTTGAGGATAAAATAAGACTCTTTAATTACCTTTTGCATTGGCATAAAGACGCAAGCTGTCTCTCTGTGTTGTGTTTTTGGATCACAAACAGGTGCAGAACTTACGTGAAAATCGGCATGTCTGGTTGTTTTTAGTTTTTGCAGTGTGTTCATGAGCAACATGAAGCAACATGAGGCAATGTGAGAAGAAGTAAACATGTAATCACTTGGTGTTTGCCTGTGCTTGTTCTTTAAAGTTTGGTTTGGTGTGTCAGAGGCCTTTAGATTCTCATACATTCAAACCTGTGAGGTTCTTAAATGCTGCGCTTGAGGAGCTCAGATTGTCAAGTTCAGCACTGTTGTGTATTATTTTGGTCTTAAGACTTTTGTTTCATGAGTTGTCACAAGCTTCTAAAGGATTTCTATTATATACTCTGTACTTTTATCTTTCTGGTGATATGGTATTATGTTTTCATTGTCTGTTCAATCACTTTACGACTGTGTGCTGCAAAGTGAAAGGAATCATGTTGATTATCCAGAGAAGCTCTCGAATCTAATTGTCTTTCTCGTTCTAAGCTGTTGGTTCTAATAATGTTGTCATATTATTCCTTGTTGATGAAATCAGGAGGAAATCAGAAAGTCTGAGGAAGAGCCCATTGTGTTCCTGATAACTATACTTCAGCAAGAGCATGTTGTAATAAAAATATTCTTGGCTCACCATTTGTAAAGATCTCCAGCGATGTAAAATATCACTTTTAGTGTTTCACAACATACACAAATGGATATAATATATATTTTAATTAAAAACTTAGCTTAAGCATTCAGCTTACAGCAATGAATGTAACGATCATACTGCATTCTATCAAATCAGTATCTCATTTTTAGTTATTTTTTACTTTTCTTCCACAGATACAATGTGCTGCTGTTTGTGATGCTCTACTGCCTGCCAGTGACCTTTAACCTCACCATAGGCTTCCTAACTGGCAGACGGCTTTGGGGAGGGAAGAAATGTACATTTGCTGATCTTGATCCTCGCAGCCAAGCTCTGCATGCTTCACGCCTCAAGATGCGCCAGAAGATAGCCAAGATGGTGGTGTGTCTGGTGCTGCTGTTTGCTGTGTCCTGGCTACCACTCTACTTGGCTGACCTTTGGATCGACTGTGAGCAAAGGCCACCATCTTGGCTCCTGCAGACGCGGCCATTTGCCCAGTGGCTGGGCCTGACAAACTCCAGCCTTAACCCCATCTGTTACTGTTTCATAGGGGATCTGTACCGCTCAGCAAAGGTGATACGGATGCGATACTACCAAAAAGTCGCCGCTCTCTTCAGCTCCTCCTCATTCTCTAGCTCAGCTGCAGTGGCATCTCCTGTCACAATGATTACAGACACCAGAGTGACTGTTGGCGAGCGCCACCATATTGGTGCTGCTGCTGCTGTGGCAGCATCTGCATCCATCGTCACAATCCCCAGGCTGTTGAGCTTGGCTAGAGGCCAGGGACTGGGGCAGAAGGTCAGAGACAGTTCAGACAGCCGAGCAGGATCCGACCACAGTATCTCAGACTGGTGTCGGTCCAGTCCCAGTGTGTGTGACAGCTCCTTGTTCCCCTGCCAGCTCCACACACTTCAGCACTCCACACAAAGAGCAGACTTCCTCCTAACAAGAAGGCACTCTGTAAATGAGAATGCTGCACCATCACCTTTAAAAATTGAGTCTGTGGAAATAGACATGTTGCCTTTAAGGAGGCATTCAGGAGACAGAATATATGGTCTGTCAGCTGATAAGAGAGACATCATTACTATGGGCAGAGACACTCTCTGTTACACTGGGCAGCACAGAAGCAAAACATCACAAGCCTACTGTCTGGTAGGAGATGGGGAGGTTGAAACAACCGATATGACCAGTCTGTGAAAGCTGCAGATTATCTGATACATCAGCAGGGAGGAATTCTTTCTTTTTGTCACACAGAGCTGATTGACAGTTTACAGGTGACGGTGTGGGTTAATCCTTGCCAAAGCCATTGTTTGTTTTAAGGCTAAACTGACCTGGTCTACACTCTCCTTCTTTTTCTGTGTATCATCTAAAGCACAGGGGATTCAGGACCAATATCTGCACAGACGAGATCAGGTTTTTGAAGCCATGCAGAGGGAGCAGTGATGGAGTGAACCCTGAAGAGGAAGAGTTGGAGTGTTATGTAGCCCCAGGCTAGAAAGCCAGTTATCAGTAAGAAGGATCTATTGCAGCAGTGCCATCACATGCAAGTCATATCATAAGTGATTCAGCTGCTAGTCAGAGTTGTGTCTAACATCTGCTCAAGACAGTAACTTAGCAGGATGTAATTGTGTGATAAATATTTTAGTTTAGATTCTTCTCTTTCTTTCGTATTGCTTTGCTAATGGTTTTAATTGTATTTGTTGCTCACAGAAAAGGTCAAACCCTGTGTTACAGTGCAATGTTGGAACATAGTGTATCCCACTCAGATGCATTATGCATAGAGTTTCTGTCTTTACAGGTCAATGTCAGCATCAGTGTCTGCAGTCTGTGAAAGATAAGTGCGGTCGCAGCAGTTGTTCATGTGTGCAGTCATACAGGTGATTTATAGGGAGCATGAGATACACTGTATATGAAGCAGAAAATCAAAAACTCAGAATACAGTGAATGGTTACGTTTTGCACATAATAACCGTGTGATATTGCTATGAGGTATGAAATAGCTTTTCAGGTTCACCTGATAATAGCTAGACCAGCTTGTTTGAAATAAGCTCAAAACAAGTAAGGCTTCTTCATTCAGAAGAAATTTAAAAGGTCAGTTCACCCAAATAACAAACATGTTTCATCATCGAATGAAATCATTTGCATTCACGTTGAGATAACCACCGGACTTTTCTAATGCCACCTGATATGAAATTTTGCTGAATGTAAGTTTGTTGCTGACAGGATTAAAAATTACATTTAAAAAATCTACTACATGTGTGTCTTTTTAGAATCAATGTCCAAGCCTGATGATCAGACTGAATTCACACTCATTTAGCCATCATTATTTTGTCTGACACTGTGCTCATGTTTGCCGTTTTCTGTTTGGCCAATGTCATGTTTACATTCAGTGTTGCTCTTAATCATGCATTGTTTACATCCTTGTTTACTTGCTAGCAGTTTTTAGCTGGCACATATTGCTGCATTTCTAGGTGTGTTACTGCCACCTGTACATCAGTTGAATCCTGTGATACCTTTGGCAGGAATATATTGTCTCTCGCATGCTCGGGTGAGTGCACTTATGCATGCATGAGACACAAAAAAAGATGCTGACCCATTCCAACCCCCCCTAAAGGGTACCGTGTGTGTCGCTGTGAGACGCTGAGGGGCGTGACAACACGTTTGTATTTGACAACCTGGGAATGACACCGGGCTGCCCATTCATAAAAACATTGCTCCATAGTGCTGCCAGTGGTAAAAAACTCCACAGGGTGACATTTGGGTGAGCTGAACCTTGAAAAATGTTGTTTATTGATTATATCACATGGACTGTTCTGTGATTAGTTACAGAAAAAAGAAGTATGACTGTTTTAATATTTGACATCAGAGTTTTGGCCCAATCAGAGACACTGCCTGTTAAACCAGCACATGCCTTGTTGTATAAAGGACTGAAAAAGGGTACTGAAATAGTTTTAAAGGTTAAAGAAATAAGACACAAACATACACACATGCATGCACACAGACAACATAATGTAATCTACCCTCAGGCTGCTTTCAGTTGTGTGCAAGACAGAGGTGGTGAATAGCATGAACTGCTGTGACATCAAGCTGCTAATCACACTCTTGTCCTCGCAGCAAAAAGTGAAGTGGTGCAACACTCAAGGCATCAAACTGTGCTGAAACTGTTCTATTTATGTCATTGGATAAGGTTGCTTTGTACCTTAGAAATCTCAATGCCATTATGCTGTGACTGTCTCTTATGTCTCCTTTTCTCTTTACTTTCATCTACCTCTCTCTCTTTCTCAGTTTTGCACTGTGTTAATGGAGGGCATGTGTACAAAGTAATGTGCATTTGGTGTTTCATTAAAAAGCAAAGAGTTTGTTTGTGGTCACCTGTAACTGCGACTGAAACGTTCCAGGATTTGCACAGATTTTTAAAGACCTGCAACACAGCTGTTCTTAAAAGAACTTGTTGAAATTGTCTTTAGCTAATAGAGATATAATAAATGGTGGGAGGTCTGAAATAAGACACAAAAAAGTTTTCTGCACAGCTCTTGGATCCTTTGTCCAATATTCTCTTGTTCCTTTAGACTTGATTAAATGTTAATGGGATCTGAATTTAGTTATGAGTAGCTCTCATTCCTTTAATCATTCAAATGAGTTACAAAGAAGTTGAAGGAGGGAGAGACTCAAAGTCAGTCTCATCAAACTTGTGAAATTGGATTGCTCCACCACAAATTTGATTAGTGATTGTAGAGCAAGTTGGGCATGCTAAATTTACTTGTTCATCATGTAGAACATTAACATATTTCAGAAACTGAAACCACTTTGCTGAAGGTTTGTGTTAAGTTCAGGCTTACTTTGAAGGCAATTTGGTCAAGGGTCTGCAACTACTACTATTCTATTTATATTATCATCATATTATATTATAAATTATTAATATATTTCTACAAGTTTCAGGTACAGTTTTGAGTTTTCACAGGTCAAAGGTACCCTGGTACCCTGTGGAGTTTACTTCTAACTACTACTACTTACTTGATAATGATACAATTTTCTAAAATGATCTAACGGTGAATGCTTCTTCAATTATTATAAACAAACCTGTTTTTTTTCTCATAGGCCAACACACGTCTGAGCATTGCAGAAAGCAGCTGTGTTCACACACAAAATTGTAATTATTACAGATGGGTTACAAAGTAAAGTAAATAAAAAACTTGAATAAATGATTGGAGGACCAACAAAATGCTTCTGTACAGCTGTGCTGCATGATACAATTATTATGCTTTGGACATGCATGGAAATGCTGAGCAGATCCAGTTAAATTTGATTTTGGATCCAGATAACAGGAGGAAAATATCTAAAAAAGTCACCTAGAAACACACAGATGGCAGGAGTTTCAGTCACAAATAAAAAAGTCAAATCATCAGCTGAGCCATCTTTCACCATAATCTTGACATTGGGCGAGTACAAGTTTGGCCAACAAGTCCTCCAAATTACAGTAAATGACAGATTACAATTGCATCAGAACTCCAGAATGAAAGGGTTTTCTGATTGGACATCGGTTTCGGCAGGGTGACATGATTTGTCAGTAGCTTTAAAAACTGTTACAAATCACAGCTGCAAAAAAAGCAATTCTCACAGTGCTGTTCTTAGGTTATGTCTAATATCCAATCACTCATAAATCTCATCCCATTTAAAACCAATTGAAGTGTTTTAGATGGTGGAAGGATCACATGAAACTAGTTTTGAATTTGTGTGTGTTGCATGGCTGGGAAGGCTCCATAAGGAAAGAGAATACAAAGTAGGCACATTTTTGCTGTTTATTTCATAGCGTATAGCTTTACTTGAAGTACTATCCACTACACCCCACTGCCACTGCTTCATCTCCATCGTTACATTAACCATTTGGTTGAGACTGGGGAACAATTGTGGTCATGGTAAAAAGAAACCAAGATTGACTGTTGGCAGGAAACAGGACGGGAACAGTTGACTTCCATATCAAAGACATTATTTAACCCATCCAACCACCACAACCTCCACCCTTGTTATTGGGCATTTACAAAAATGAGTGATGTTGCTTTCTTGGGAGGACAGTCTTTGTGTGTCATCAGGAGGAAGGGTCGCTGCAAATCAATACGTTTATCTGACAGATCATTTATATTATTTGATTAAACATTTCTATGCTCATGAAAATGGTTTCTTCAAGGATCACAATATTTTCACCCACAGGGCATTAGGGCTATTAAGTGGTTTGATGAATATAAAAATGATGTGAATCATATGCGATGGCATTCACATTCACCAGACCTCAATTATGGGAATATTTTGGAGCAACATGTTAGTGTTCTCCACCACCACCATCATCAAAACACCAAATGATGGACTATGTTTTGGAGGAGTGGTGTTCACCCCTCCAGTAGAATTTTACAGACCTAAGGAATCTATTACATGGAGCACTGAAATACATGCTTTTGTAATATCACTTAGCTCTAGATGGCGCAGACACTCATTTTCTTCAACCATTTTCTTCAACATCTTGCTTAAGCACACTATGTCAGTATCAAAGTACCTGGTTCTGTTTGTGCCTCCATGTGCAAAGTCTTCCTCTTCATATTTATCATATCATCCACAAAATAATAATAATTTTACTATGAAACAAAATGCTTGTTTGATGAAATTTCAGGATGCCAGTTTCCAACTGCATGTAATGTATATAGTGTTTGTAAATTGCCATCTGGTTCTTGAAGCACTCACAGGGATGTGATGAGCGTGTACATACACACACACACACACACACACACACACACACACACACACACACACACACACACACACACACGATTTCACTCACACACAGTTTCAGACATCCCCAGGACTCATGATGAGGCACTTCAACTCATCATTGCTTTCATTTCTTTGGACATCCAGTATTTTTTGATTCTCTTAGATATTTTTCCTCATCATATTTGTACTCTCTCTCCCTTATTCTTCTCTCACCACCTGTCTGTTCTTTCCGTTTTTGTCATCTCCTTGCATCATTGCTATACCAGTGTCAGAAACTTGTGCTAACAATAGGCTGTTATTTTTTTCCTGTTCCTGTTTTTTTTGCAACAAGATAAGGGCCATTTAACACTAGAGAGCATAGCCATAGGGGAGCAATGCACACTAAAGGCGCAGACACAGTGAACAAAAAATGCTGTGAAATATTACACAAAATGATGAGGTCTCTGTTGCAAAGCCAAAATCATCCCTTTTTTTATTGACAAGGTTGATTACAGAAACAGTTTTTTTGTACAGAAACTATGTTCTGCAGTTGGTATAATGGCAATGAGGGACTGGGGATGGAATCCCACTGCAACACATCCACCAATGTGTCCCTGAGCAAGACACTTAACGCGGGGGGCTGGAGCCAATCCCAGCTTACATCGGGAGAAAGGTGGGGTACACCCTGGACAGGTCGCCAGAAACTTTCACTATGTAATTCATTCAAAAGCAATTTGGTATGCCAAAGCATGCAAACAATGTGCAAAATGTTGCTGTGATATTGATTTACCCCACTGGATAAAACAAAATGAAAACAGCAGTGCTGATACTGAGTGAAATAGTCAAGGCACCAGATTAAAAGAGCATTTCACTAGCGAGGTCCACAATCAACAGATACGATTGAATGATTTATTTATAAACAAACAGAAGATGTATGATGCTTGCAGTAGCTGAATAGCAATTCGAAAGCGTTGTGGGGAAGCTACGATAGGGAAATCTGCCATAGCACCGGGCACGACGGACGCCTAAAAGGCTTCCAGTTATTTGAGAGAACATTGGGTGATCTAAGATCTTGAGCTCTGAAGTGTAGTGATGGTACGCTTGGTAAGACCAGCAGCGCGTGATCTGTATGCTCGGGAATGACGCAGCGGTAGGCTGAATGGTAGCTCAGATCCTGGAGGAGTGACCAAAGTAATGGGTGGGAGAAATGCCTGCGAAAGAGTACTTTGGCAGAACTGCTGGTAGAACCGGAATCGAGTAGCTACTAGACCGGTCTCGGACGATCTGACATGGTTGTGCGCCGGGATTCCCCAAGTAGTTATCTCGCTAAATCGCTTCTAGCAAACGGTCGCCATCTTGCTAAGTCACTTCAAGGGGTTCAAGGGTTCAGAGATAACTGGACTTCGAAGAAAAAGATGAACATAAGCTGGCCTGATTGACTAGACTTTGGATTGCTTTGGTAGAAAGCAGTGTTGT